GAGCTCCTGTGCAGCGGAGCACAGAGAGGGAGAGAGACGAAGGAAAAAAACAAGCAGGAAAATGAAACTTATCGCCGTCTTTTTTTTACCGAMCTCAAAAAAAGTTATCGTGCAATTAATTGATTTATTGACTATCGCGACAGGCCTAGAAATATTCATTGATATTAAAGAATATTTGGACAGTTTTAGTGCTGAATGCACAATAAAGAAATGAAATAAAACGGGAAAATGTGAGCTTCTGCTCATTCAGGAGTCACACTACCTGCAGCCAGCAGAAACAGATTAAGCCGTTTGGTTCGAGACAGACCCACCGACCTCATTAGAGCGGATAAAGAACCACGAGCTGAAAATATTGTTCCTGCACAACTTTGAAGTACACATTTAACATGAAGTAAAAATAACTAAACTCACTCGTGAAAGAAGTGCATGATGGGTAGTCATGGAGGGACAGACGGAGAATCTAGTTGTTGGTTTACTGAGAAGTAGGTCAGGTCAGTGAGGAGGAACAGGAGGATGAGGAGGGTGTGACGGATAGAGTCCAGTCCAGACCTCATAAGCTCCGGTGGAAAACTCACAACCATTAATCTGATTAATGTAAACGAACAGTTTCCCTGCAGCCAGACGGGGCGTTACACTGCGACAAAGCATGTGAAGGCCCACATGGGCCTCCACCGTAAGCTCTTCTGCATTCCAGTCAGGTGTCAGGATGTGTGCTGCTCGTGGCCCGGGGCCTTTAAGAAACAAGAATTTGTCCCTCTGCTGCCAACAAAGACAAACCACTAGTGTCCTCAGGAAACAAGAATATTACTGTCACAATCAAAGTTACCACATTTTCGCATGACTCTTGGTAAAAACAAACCACAAATGGAAAAACTAAAATCATGCTTTGCATTATTCCACACATGGGAATCTAACAAGCTCCAACTGGACCAGAAGTTTTCTCCATCCGGCCCTTCATGAGGTCAATGAAAAATTTCAACTCAAATATTCATTCTGTGCACAACTCCAAAAACAGTGCTTTTACTTTGAAGGCGAGCTTTGTGGTGTTTGTCAGCAGCCTCTGAATGATCGCTGCAGTGGCAGCAGAAAGTAGAGTTTGTGAGGTTTGAGTCACCGTCGTGTCAGCTATCTGCTGGCAGCTACTATGAAACGGCATGCAGGCAGATCAACAGGTGAGTCACAGAGGTAAAACAGTTTCAAAACCTAAAATAGACATCCATCATTACTAAAACCTGTTCCAACAACTCCTGAGTGGCTAGTCAGGACAAGACAATCACTTGTTGTTTAAAAAATGTTGTTGCAGAAGAATGGGTGATGTCAGATGATAGACTGTAGTTTAATATATATAACACACACACACAGAATAACTTTAATGTAACATATATCTGCATCCATTGGATGTTGTGTTTGGAATCACCTGCTTCATTTTAAGGTGATAAAACAAATTGCTTGTATTTATTCCTTTCTACACACTTTGCAGATTATTTTTTCTGAACTCCACCTGTTTAATCTGTGCGCGCTCCAGCGGGGTGACAATCATTATAGTCGCGCTTTGGAGTGCGCGCGCATTCGGCCGTGCGTCGTCGCGCTATGACCGCAGGAGAAACGAGGTCCAGACTGATTTTTGTGCGTCCCACCTGAGCACCGACCTCACCTGCACTGACAGTTGCCTCGCTGCGTGGAAATGAATGGAGAGTGAGCGACATCGCCTCCCGTGTGTCGAGCCCTTCACACATGCAGCGGCGCACGCTCCTCCCGCGGCAGGCAGTGGTCGGTCGGCATCCGACCGGAGGACGAGCCGTCACGTAAACATGTAAACAGTTCGGCGTTCATTTTCACACACCCGAATAGGTCCGGAYATGTTTTTTTCCCCTCTTCATTTGCGCTCTCAGCCTCGCTACTTCCTGTTTTCTCTGTTTTGAGTCCAGCTGGTTACATCATCAAAAAGAATTGCGCGGTTGGCCGGTAGACAACAGATCTCTATCATAGGACTAATTTATATCGTTTCTACCGTATATCGTTTATATCGCGCATTCCTACAGTGTACTGGATTTTGGTCAACAATGATGTTTTTAGAGTTAAACAAAGTTGTATTGTATTTTATTAGTTCTAGCTGCCCACTGAATACTATATAAACAACTACAGGCACTCAATTTCAGCTGAAGAGCTCCTGTCCATCTGTCTCAGGTTAGTGGACATCATTCAGGAGACTGTCAGAAAAATTCTTCACTACGTCACACAGTGGAATCTCTCTGACTGGTTGACGCGTCAAGCTGCAAAAGTTCAGATTTTCCAACTCGAGTGCGCATCAAAGGTGCTAAACGCACCCCTGCACTTCCAGATGCTCCATGAAGTGCATCCACCATAGACTTTGCATGTAAACCTGACTCTCCTGATGCTCAAAACGCGTTTGGTGAGAACGCAGCATCAGTGACAGAAAGGAGAAAGTTGGAGTGGGTTGGGCATCTCGTAAGGATGCCCTGTGGACACTTCTCTAAGAAGGTGTTGGACACGCCCTGGTCTACACTCAGAACATATACTTTAGTGTAGAACCACAGATGTTCAGATGACAAAAAAGCAAAAACAAACAAAAACAAACAGGTCATTGAAGAGTTTTAATATTAGCTAATGAAATGTTCTTTCACACCAGAATGTCATCAAGTTGTTAGGCTAACCCTTAAGGGTTTGACACACAGGAGGTGACGTCGCTCGCTCTCCATTCATTTCCTATGGAACCTGCGCGATGAGGCGACAATTACTTGCCCTCCTCCAGCTAAGCGACCGGCGAAAATAGTGCATGTGAAATTTCGCGCTCGTACACGTAGACACGCGAGCTTGCGACGCGACATRTGAAAGTTGAAAAATGTTCAACTTTTGTCGCTGTCGCTTAGCGTACAACCAATCAGCGAGGGTTTCATTGACTGACCAATGAGAGGAGAGTATGCTACACACTGCCGTTAGCGAACGCTTTCACCAAGTGATTACTAAAAAGCTTTGTGGGAATTTATTGGCACCAGGGTGAAGTTTATGGTAAGTTTTTCCTCATAAAACTGTATCTTGATGTGTGTTTGTTTTTCAATATCATTAGCATCACAAGATTTGTTTAGTTTACACGTCCGTAATGCACACCCCCCTTCAGAGTCAAGAACCAATCAAATTGTGTGAAGACAAGCGACCTGAGAGCACGATTCGCAATGCTGCAATCGCTATCGCACCCCGTGTGTCGGGTTTCACCCTAGCTGCGATGACAGTCGTTAATCGCTGTAGTTTGTCGCTCCCCGTGTGTCGAGCCCTTTAGCCTACACTAGAAGACTTCTGCCCTTTTATTCACTCCGTGCTCTATGACTCATAATGGACCAACTATTGATAATTATCTGACAGCACATCAGTTTAAAGAGGAACAGAGTGTTTAACAATTACCTCCACAAAGATTCTGAGCAGAATATACTTTATGTAAGCATTTTTATGAATGTCACAATGAATGTCATGAACCAAAAAACACGAGAAGCACAAATCCCAGATTTACAGAAGACATCAGGTTCAAAACAAAACACACAGTATTTCAAAACAAAAAGATCAAAATGAAAGCAGAACTTACCTCTTCAGAGATGAAAACAGAAATGGACAGACGTCCAATCAGAAGACAGCCTTTATCCTTTTCTGGCCTGAGAAGCAGAACAGGACAGACGGATAGATGAAGATCCCTCAGAGGCGACAGTGAAGGAAAAACACAAAGAGGTTTGTTAGTGAAGCAGCAGAAGGTTAGATTAGATCCTCCTGCAGAGCAGCAGCAGCTCCATCAGAGCGAGCTGCTGCTGCTTTAACGCTCAGTGTTGGCTGCAGGGTGGCACATACCTGAGGTCACGGTGAAATGCCACACATGGAGCCTGTGGTGAAAACGTAATAAAACCAGAGAGGGTCAGAGTGAGCTCACACCTCTGTTAACACCTGCTGAACGAAAAGGAGGAAAGAAAGCTTCAGGGTATGAAAACAGCACACAGGTGTTTCCTCAACTGCCAGGTTACATTAAACCCATTTTATTTTATATATTAACTGCAAACATTATATAATAAGTGTTAGGTGCAAAGACAAAAACAGAAAAAAAAGCAAGTAAGAAAAAATATGAGGCCCCAGAAATCCTGGAAATTTAAGTTTCCATAGTTTAAACCCAGGAAAACTCAGTTAAACTGGTGTTTTTATTCCCAATGGAAACATCCAGAACATCTAAAAAATCTCTTTATCACCAAGAACTGTGCTGACTGATCACTGTTGCAAAACAGATCTTTCACCTTTTTGTCCTCAGTGCTCATTTTATCTCTAGACTAGAATGTGCTCAATTCAGACAATTCCTCAACTAAAACATCTGTTTAAGCTAAAAAAAATTAACAACAAATAAAATAAAAAATGAGTAAAGAAACTTTCCTCTGAACACAGTCAAAGAGCTTGATGTACAGGAGATGTTGCGATAGAAGGAAGAGGCTTAATATCAAACTAGTAATGAGTTAGAAAATAAATTAGCAACAAAGTAATCTACTACCTCATTACCTTTGGTTATCCTCAAAATCAAAACTGATGGGACAGAAATTGAGATGATCACCTCCTATAAGTACCTGGGTGTGACCCTGGATGATAAACTCTTTCAAAAAGCAAATGGGTTTCTTGTCCTGTTCACTGAACACGTTCGAGATTACTTAATCTCAACAACATTCCTCACTCTTTTGGATAATGGTGACTGTTTGTTCATGAACTCACCAGAACAATACCTAAAGAAATTGGTCTCAATGCATCATTGTTGTGCTGTTTGTTTTATTACTGGCCGTCGATGTTGTGTTCACCATTGTGGTTTACACGCAGCGGTTGGTCGTCCCTTTTTCTCTGGTCGTAGACAATCACATGTGCTTCTTTTTGTTTATAAATGTATACCTGTGTACATTTATGAAGTCCCAGATCCAGTATGGACCTCCAGGCCCTTCTCCATATGTTTGATCCCAGAGTTAGGACAGAGCTGGGTAAAAGAGCTTCAAAATATGCTGCCCCCTCAGCTTGGAATGACTTTCAGAAAAGGTCTAAACTGACGGAGAACATGACACTAGGTGAACTAAAAGCACTGTTGAAACACCATGAAGGAGAGAGTTTTACTTGTAATCGTTATGTATAGAGTTAATTTTATTTAAATTTTTTGTGGTTGAATGTTGATACAATGGTGATGCAATCTTTTTTCATGAAAACGAGATAGTATCTCTCAAGGAAGTTTTTTTTATCTGGTTAAATAAAGGGTATCTATTCTATATAAATCTTTTGTTTAAATCAGAGCACAATTATTCAGATTATTACATCAAAATCTAACGATTAAATGCAAACAGTTCCGGTCCGATTTTCATCCACTAAGTAGCATCGATTGGAAAAATGCAAGATTGGAAATAGGGATGCAAACAATTAATCGACTTATGATTAATTGTTGAATAACGGTTTATTAGGTTAAAATTTATTTTGATTAATTGAAAACATCTGTTCAAACCATATTTCAGTGTAGTTTCATCCAGTAGAGGGAGCTGCTGCTCTCAGGTTAGCCTTACTCTACMCCGCCTTATGTTGAGCTGAGCAGAGAGCCGGGCGGCCTCATAATCAAATCTGCAAATCTTGTTTAGTTTTATTTGTGACAACAGTAATAATGGGCTACACCAAACTCAAAGGAGAAGTACTGAAGGCTGTACCGGACCATCCAGCAGTATGACGCTAAAGACAAGAGAGCAGGACGACAGAACRGTTAGCTAACTAGCTAAAATTAGCTTCTTCTTGTGGGGTTTAAATCCATGTGAAAGAATCAAAACAAAAACAAAACAAAAATAGTTAGACATTACAAATAACGTGACGTTAATCTCATCTGTGTGACGTAAACTGGCCAGTGAACAAATCAAATGAACAGTAATGTCAAATCAGCAGCCCAGATAGAACAACAGAGAACGTAAACAAACAACAGAGAACGTAAACAAACAACAGAGAACGTAAACAAACAGTTCCAATACTCATTTGTTTCTCATTCCTCTCAGGGATATTTTATTACATTTATAGTTTGTTAATGAGGAAATCTTTAGATTAAAATGTTAGTGTTTAAATGTTAGTTTTACATTTCTTTTAGTTCAGGGTGGATTAAGTGTTTTACTTAGGGCTGGACGGTATGACCTCAAATTCAAATCACGGTATAAATTGAATCCCTTCATGGCAACGGTATATATTGCGGTAGAAAATTATCATAAAAAACAAAGATAATGTAATTTTTACAGTGTTTATTTTGCAGAAAACTGTAATCTTAATCAAACCCAGTATTTTTGCTGTAGTGCAAATAAACATAACAGAAGAATGTTTTATATATATTGCAAAATGATTTCAACAACAAAAACATTTCTCAAATTTTCAACAATATCAAAATAAAGTGGATGTTATAACCAGTACTTCAAGTAAAATTAGTCATTTAGACATTAAAAAACTTACATAAAAAGGTTTTTCTCCAACAACTTGGGTGTGAAAAAACTACGGTTGTTAAAGCGTCGCTCTGCTCGACGTGCAACGAGAGAGGAGGAAATTATGATCCCATGACACAACGTAACTTTTCTACAGTGTAAGGGGAAATCTTAAGGATTTATTCTATGTGTGTTTTAAAACACTATATTTCTTTATTCTCAGAATATTTTGAACTCCTCCTGCTCAGTCGTCTCTGCACTCGCAGTCCTGTTGACAGGCGTGATGATGTAACTGATGACAGAGGGTGAATTTCTACCGTAGAACTTCATATCGTTTCTACCATCTATCGCATATAGACCGCACAGCCCTAGTTTTACTTTTTTCTTACCTTTTTTTTCCCAACTAGCAACCTAACAGATTGCTGTTTTGTTATATTTTATAAATATGTCCAAGTTTAATAATGTGTGAGAAATCCACAATTTCTGTTTATTCAGTCAGGGTTTAATACCGCTGGCACATTACATTTTATAAAATATAATACTGTACTTTTTTATTTAGTGTGTAAAAAATTAGCCCTTCATGTCATAGAGACCTTGATTCAAGAGAAATGTCAGGTTTTTAGGAAAATGGCCGCTTATCAATTAATCGTTATTCGATCGATAAGATCAATCAACTTTAGATTAATCCATTGATCAATAACTTGCATTCATAATTGGAAACAACTTTGTTTTTCATAATAAATTTAAAACATTATCAATGCAGTAAACGCACAACTGAGCAGAAAAAAACACTCAATAAACATTATCAGTTGTGAATAATCTTCACTGCTTCAATAATGTTAAAGTCCAGATTCTGTTGAAGAACTGTCTTGATTAAACAAAAGCAGCAAACATCATCTAATTAGGGCTGCCATGATTAGTCGATTAATCGACGATTAATGGATATTAAAATAATCGATGACTAATTTAATAATCGATTAATCAGTTTTTTTTTTGTTCTTTGTTTTTCTCTCCAAACTGCTTTGACACCTTCCGCTGCCACGTCTGCCTTTCTGTCCTTGACACACATGCACAGTAGTGGTAACTGGGGTAGGCCGTGGACKTCACAAGACATTATACAGACAGGCTCTGGTATCATGGCTACCYRGCAACGGAGCTCATAAGTGTGGGATCTTTTTTAAAAAATGAAAGAGAAACCTGTTCAATGCAATATCTGCAAGGCAGAACTTGCCTTCCACAGCAATTATTTTAGTTAGCATATAGCTAAAATCTAACAATGGTTATACAATAGCAGCAGCATTCTGGCACGATAAGCTCTATGTTTTATCATCAATTAACATATGATCTGATTAGCCGACTAATCAAAAAAGTAATCGGTGATTAATCGATTATAAAAATAATCGTTTGTGGCAGCCCTACATCTAATATCTTGTTTCTAAGGAATACTTAAAAAATACATGAAACCTGTCAAACCAGGACATCAAACTATACTTGCATTATAATTTATATTTGGACATAAAAACACTATTTTTTGTAGTAAAATATAAAGAAATGAGGGTTAGACTGAGGTTTGTGCACAAAGCTGTTCACACAGGAAAGTCACTATAATCTGATTTACAAAGATTAAAATCTTGTTTTTATATCTAAATACAGAAACTGAGAAATACGCAGAGGGGGAGGGGGAATAATATTTATCTCTCAACTGTCTGTGATTTAAAATAAAACCATTTTCAGACTAAACACTGGCTAAACTAATGTTTACCCCAAAAATATTATGAAGTCGAAACAGGTCTCCTGGTTTTGCAGTCAGGATTCCTGCACCGTCTCCATTTTAAAATTCAAATTTTCCAGACTCCAATTTAATTTTTAATCACAAAAAGAAAACATGTCAAACAAAAAGAGTGGAGGATGATGTCTAAACAAAAATCATCAGAAGACCATCAGGCTCATCTGGCTGAAAAGATGAATCACTAAAAGACAAAAACACCTGAACTGTAACAAACGCTACATGACAAAGAACAGGATTTGATCACATATTCTATGTGAAAAACTTTTGGAGTTATCCCTCATTAATAAGACTCTTTCCAAAAGCTAGATTTTGAAGCAAAATGAATAAATAAGGAAGTAAAAATGTCATTTGTTTTTTTTCTGTAAAAATGTCATTTATTAAACTGCACTCTGTCCATATTTCAATTTAATAAATTTGAAACACACTCTGCTTTTTGGGCTTTAATATTTTTCACAACTGTATAGAAACCCTGGGCAGTCAGACAGCAGAGTTGTTCTTTTTTAAATTAATGTAATAAAACAGATTTAAAAAACTAAAATAAAATAAAAATGAATTATTGTTTGACAAATACAAAAACTGGTGATTTTTGTAACATTTTATGCCTAATCAGCTAATATTTGACTCTTAGGTTCAGCTCAGCCTGCAGACAGCTGAGTGATGGTAAAAAAAAATCAGTTTTTAAAAAGACATGAGGCTGGGAA